GCATACTTGATATTTGATAATAATTCACAGTTTTCGAGAAGTTACCATCCAAAAAAATGTTGACCCAACCTATAAATTCGATGAATTTTTCGGCATACCTCTGTATTGAATAAAATTATCAATAAGATATCTCTTTACTTCACAGTAGGTTGTTACCTTGCTGGTTCCGAGGAGAATATGAATAATGAAATAAATAAAAAAAATCCAAACAATGTCTGTCGAGCGTCGAGCATCAATGCCTCACGTCATGATTCATGAATTCATGATCTCAAACCAGAAATCTTAGAAATCATTATGAATTCTGGAACTTACCTTGATAATAACCACAGTGGTAGTACCTCGGGTAGCACTTTCAATCTACGATTGTATCGAACACTGAACGAATAATAGAAAAAAACAGTACAATGCAATGCAAGCACTTTCGATCCAAAATGCCTAATAGTTTCGTGTGATCCTTTTCTTTAATGAATAACAAGAGTTTTACGCTTTGAAGGCGCTATTAGTGCCTAGAAAAATACGTTATGGAGTATTCGAACAAAATGGAATAACAGCTTCTTTCTCTATCTGTTCACCCTTTTGTTGAAGTTGAACGTGAAACATATCTGTTACTTATCTGATTTGAAAACAGAGTCGTTAATGTGATCGTTTTTTGAAAATTCGCATGAAAGTAATGTCACATAGCTGATTATAAAGCCATAACATTAGAGACGAAACACGGTAGTGGCACAGTTTGTAGTGGCAAGAAAAACGTGTCAGAATCGTTATTGGTATACTGAAACGTTCGGATTGCACATGATATATTCGTCATTGTTACGTGTTTATGGATGGAAGTAACCATTGTTACTTCGAAAATAACGTCATTAGCAATAGTATATTGTTTAACGAGCACGAAATCATAGTGATTTCTCACGAAAATGAAGTCTGTAGAATGAGCCGTAGGCGAATGCTGCAATTATTCGAGTGGGAAATTAGCATTCCATGCGAGTTATACACTATAATTTTTCTACAGCAGTAAAAAATAACAGCGACATTTCCATTTCTCCGTCTTGTAGCCATCTGATTTTCTTTCAAGTAATGCTCATCTTTCAGACAGAGCTGTCATTGCTTGAAATTTTACATTCCCTGGACGATGAGCTTTCTCTGAAATAATAATACAAAGGAGTCAATGTGATATCAGATACAGAAATGAAATTGTTGAAAAAAAAAGGTACCTCATTGATGTATCGAACACAGTAAAACAAGAGCAATTTTGTGTTATAGCCGTACATCTTTTTTATGTTCTTGGTCCAGTGAGTAGCTAGGTACATACTTTGAAAGCGAGCACATGCTTTATCTAAATATTTGATTGTGTGAATCAATTAAATATTCAGAAATATCGCATAGCTACATGCGGTGTCTCATTGTGTCACATTGTGTGAGCACACATAGTATAGGTGTTCAAAATAAAGATATCCAAACTAGGATCAGCATATTATATTTGCTCGAGAAAAAAACTTGTTCCCTATTGTTGAGAGAAACCTATGTGAAAATCGAAATAAATGGATTGTGAGATTATACTGAGTCACAATTTCGTTAAATGTGTCAAATAATTTATGTATATTGTATCAATTGACGCGAATGAAGATATATATGTGTATCCCCAATTAATTCTTTGAAAGACAGGTCGTTTAGTGACGCAGAAAAAATAAATATTGAAAAATAAATTTGTGGTAGTAGGTGGGTTGGATTTTCAATGTGGTATTTTTTCGGATTCAAATATAGATATCAGCTAAACAATGACTCAGTCTAGATCCTCAAAAATACATATCTAGTTACTCACAGTTCTGATCATCTATTTTTATGGGTACCTATACCAACCTATCACTATCTACGAATGTTTAGGAACAGTTCCATCTTCAATAGTGAATTACCGAAGTATATACCAGAATGAGGAACAGCGGTAACCTAATTTTAATTCAATAATGTTCTTCTGCTTGATGGTTTGTTATCGATAATGACGATATTCATATATGAAATACCTGTTGATATGAGAATCATCAAATAATGAGGATTTCCGAACTTACATGCGAATCTTCGTCAGAATTCTCTACTCTGTTCAAACTAACACTTCTGATAGAAACCCCACAAACCTAATTATCATCCTGATTGCAAGAGTTCAGGATGTTTCTGAGGGTTTTGAGAAATGTAGTCAGATTAAATTGTTCTCGCTCCATCATTTGTATATGTACATAAAATAAAATAACTATAAACAAACCCGTATAAACTAGGTGTGCAGGTATCATCAACAGCATTGCATTTTTTAGATTTGTAGAAGGTATTCCAATTAAACAGCTTTAACGCAAATTCAATAATGAAACAATATCGAAGAGTTATTCGGTAGTTACTTTTTCTCTAATAACTGACGTTACTACTTTTCGTCGAAAATAATCTAATGAGTTTTCTTCAACGATAAGCGGCACATTAACTTGAATGTGGTGCAGATTTTTGTGGTCTTACTTTTTTGGCATCGGTGTACCTCTTCGATATTTCATCCCTTAATCTTGAACAAATTGCACGCTGAGATTTCACCAAAATATACATTTCAAAATCATAAGGTATCATTCATTTATACATTCAACATTTCACAATCGTTTATAAATAGTGTGGTGATTGAAATATTTTTCTTCAGCGAATGAGTATATACGGGTAACATTTTTATTGGGGCTATGACACATTATTCGCGGACATAATATCCGCCACATTTAATCCGCGACGTTACTTCCGCATGCATATATATCAGCGACACTATATCCGCGTCACTATATCCAAGACGAAGAAATTTGTAATTCATCAAATTGAAAATTTGATATTGATATTTGTTATGAGTACAATAAATATAATAAAATAGAATGAACGCGACAACACCTTCCAGGGCTTTGTCCCTGGACCACATACAAACTCTCATAACCTTGATCGAAATAAGATACAAAAAACATAGGTTTCAATCAGTAATCGTTTCTAACTGATGAAGAGACATGATAATATTTGTTGCAAAACGAATATCATCATAATAAACCATGATCCTCAAGACTAGGCAACTCTAAGGAAATTTTGTGAATCGATGGTCAGCTGATGCAAGCAAGACATACTGTTTCCAAGACTCATTAGTTGCACTAGGGCGGCTAACAATCAATTCACGAAGGTTGGTTCTATACAGGGTGTAATTTGATTGATGGCTTGAAATATAGGAAATGGTTTCTTAGCTCATTTTGAGAAGAGAAGTTCGTATGAACATATGCCTTAAACCTCTGAACTTTCGAACTTAAGGGTGTTAAAATTTTATTTTCTCTTCATAATTGAAGAAACTTCAACAATATGAAAATCTCTCTCGTTTATGAATACTTGCCGAAATAAGACCACATTGTTATCGATCAAATGTCATTATTTTGAATAGGAAATAGGGCGGCCCATACTAGTTCGAAATAATTTCGTTATACCACATATGCATGAAAATGATTTTTATTTTTGGAAAATGTGAAGGTATACAATTTTTTTACTAGAAAAATCTCCATTACTTATAGTTCCCATACTGGCCACTGGTAAAAATATTGGGAAATCTGCTGCATAAAAAAATGCCAATTGATGCTTAGTATAGGTACATGTGAAATTTCATTGATATATCTAAAACAGTATGGAAGTCATGATAAGGAAACGATGCTTTCTTTGAATTTTAACACCCTATAGCTCGAAAGTTAAGAGGTTCAGGACATACGTTCATATGAAAATCTCATTTTGGAATGAGCCAAGGAACCATAAACTATATTTATAGCCATCAATCAAATCACACCCTGTATATATGCACCAAATCAAAGCCAATAAGAGGACGCTCTATAGTCGTCTGAACAATCTGTAACCTTATTAGGTCTGAATCAACTTTCTTCCTAGAAAATATATTTCTCGAGAAATTACTTGAGCGAACCGAAGAAACTACTTTTTATTGACAATCAAACCTAATTTGGCCTAAACGAACCTTCTCCTAGAAAAAATATTTTTCGGAGAATTACTTGAGTTAACAGAATAGACTACATTTTCTGTACAATCTGACCTAGCTTGGTCTAAATGGACTATTCTCCTATGAAGTGTATACATTGGAAGATTGCTCGCGAACAAAAAAAAGTCGAACTTCGCATGGATTGAACACAAGCCGCGAAGTGGCAATCAGACCCACAGCTCGCTGTACCATTTGCTTACTAAAAACATCATTTCTATGAAGAACGAATTGCCTCTCGCAGATATCGCGTATTGGCGGATTTCAAGGTCATCAGATGACGTTACGATGACATTTAGCAATAGGGAAAATATGTCTGACTTTCAATCTAAGCCAGGTGTTGAAAATGATTTTCTCATAGCTAAAGATCATCGTAACGTTCAGATGATTACCTTGAAATTCATGTCATGCACGCGCGACAATACAGAGAGCCACCTATAGAAATGGTGCAGCTAGGAGCTTGTTTTGGTTACTGGTTTTCTTCGGGTATTCTCGTTCCTGAAGACTTCAATGTCTAAAAATAGGTGGAACGAAGTAATAAAAAACAGAATCATCCACATATTATGAGGATATAATAACGCGGATATAAGGCCACTGATATACTGTCGCGCGGATACAATGTCGCGTTTTTAATGTCGCGGATATAATGAATAATTTTGGGATAGTTGAACTCAGCTGGAATTCTCAACTCACTATAATCCATTTGAGAGTTTTAAAACTCGTTTTAGAACTATCAACTCACATTTCGATTAATCTATTTAGTCACCGTCTTGTTAGTAAACCTTAGGATGTTGAAAAAAAATGGCAGTGAATCATCATTTTCATTCCTTATGACAAATGTTGGTCACGATCAGTATCATAAAAAAATTATCGAAGCTCGTCACAAGTTATTAACAGAAATTATATCCTAACCTGTGACTCCTCATTCATTCATGGTATGGTGCATTTTCGTAATATTTATTTTTGTTTACAGATAAATATCAGTTTGGACGAATACACAACAGTGATGAGAGAATATCTTCAGAGTCGGGAAAATTCTGCTGATGATGCCAAAATCATTCCCAATCTAGTAACATACGATGTAGGTAAGTGATATACGTCTTGTCCATATACTATTTACATCAATCATTATATGGAAGTCATTGATTGCGTTTCAATAAAAGCCCCCAAGTCACTCCTGATATTGGTCAAATTTTCATCATAGCTGTGAACAGAAGGGGTTGAACGTTGTTGGTAATCATTTTGGCGTCTGGGTATATCAAATAAGTATTCGTTGGCCACTCATATTTCAACAAAGATATACGAAGATATTCTTTTTATTATTTGAGTACTGTTGCAGCAAAGTTTTTCCATCCTCTGAGATAGGTTAGTTTCTTCAGAGTAGTAGTATTTTTCAACATTACTTAAAATGCGTTCTGAGCAAATAACGAATTCAACGACGCGTCGTTTCTATGTGGCAGAGTGACGGTTGGTTATTTTTGGTTCACGATGTCATATTTCATGACGTAATATTGACGTTGGATACTGGAGGTCTTGATGACCCCACTGGAAAAAAAATCATGCCAATTTCATCACATTCTCATTGTTACCTCGATAACATATATTACGTTATGATATACGACACAATGAAGTATCCACTTCCTCCCAGTAACGTTGAATTTCTTGAACATAACGAAAGCCTTTTCACGGAACCCAAAGTTCATCATATCAAGTTAACCTTTATGTTCCAATTATCATTACATTAACGTAACTCCAATTTCAACTGAACGAAGGCATTTGAACATTCCTTTTGTTGACGTTATCGATTCGAAACTTTCACTACTTTTATAATGAAACTGTTACTACTACTCTGACGTTATTGTTCCATGTCTTTGCGTAGTCATATTTGTTACTCATTTCCCCTGAGCGTTTCTCAAGAACTTTCAAAAACTTCAGTATTCAGCCTCAATTATCAAAATAGGAATGAAACAGTTTTGTACTATTTCATCCTTACTTTGATGAGTGAAACTAATTGCAGGGATTCGAGAAAGTTTATGGAAACACCCTGTGGAAAGAGGAATTTCAAACCGTTAAGTATAATGAAGTATTCCCATTATGTTCAATCTCATAAAAAAATAAGATTGTATCATATCAAAATATACTATTCCTATTCTTTCCAGGTAGATTTATCGATCATATTCTAGTCATCTTCATATTATTCACTTGATCAAATAAATGCACTTATTTGGTATTTTTTCAGGTTTTGTTTCTCTCCAATGCTTCTCATGATTAAAATTTTCAAATCGAAGGCAGGACCCAACATTTCTTGGCTTTCAAGTCTCTGAAATCAACTGTCATTTGCTCCTCAGAAATAACTTCAAATTACTCATTTGATTGGGTCTTTAGCTGGTAGAGGCAGGGCAGCATCAGTGTTTTATCAAACGAGCGAAACTTCATGACTTCCATCAACTCTTTCCATTGATTTATTGGTCTGGATAGTCACCTACCTACTTTTCACATGCATATGGACCTCTTCTACTAGTTTGTTCAGGTAGGTACTCACAATATCATCGCGGGATTCCTAGAACTCAAGAAAACAAATTCACGTATCATTGCTGCTGATAGTTTTTCAAGTTTTTTGTTTCTTTTTTATGTGTTTCCATAGTAACTCAAAAATAATAGGTAGGTATACCTATACTTATAGTTCATTTGAATATTTGTTCAGGCATCTCCCTCTCTCCGAACAAATATGTTTACTATACAACTGCACAACTTTCTTCTAATCAATAACATAATAGATGACAATAATAGAAATCTGGAAAATTACCAAGATCAATTATCATGATTTATATCAGTCCTCATCACAAAATAACCTATCTATTTCAAATCCATTTGGGTCTTGGGTAGATGATTATTAGGTTTTTCCCAATTTTTTTATCAATCTGTCCATCTGTCCAACTCTCGTTCGAAGTCATTTTTTCATATGCCTGTTGAGTACCTTCTAATGCTGAATGTATCATATCTGAAACAGCGTTCAATTCAATAATTATTATTGGTTTAGTCATGTAGCATATACTCGATATCTGATAATTCACACTTTTCGAGAAAAAATATTGACCTAACCTACAAATTCACGAATTCAATTATTCCTCGGCATACCTCTTGTGATGATCAAATTAACATATTGAGATATTTCTTCACTTCACTGTAGATTGTCGCCTTGAATGTTCTAAGGAAAATATGAATTATGAAATGAATATAACAAATAATTCCAAACAAAGGCTGTGGAGTGTGGAAGTGTCGAGCGTCATTACCTCACGCCATGATTAATGAATTAATGATCCGATCTCAAACCAGCAAATCACAGAATCATAGAACGTCACAATTTCTGGATAATTGGAGTTTTCAAGTCACCGTGTAAAATGATTCTCATATGAATTTTAATGCTTCCATCAGGCATTAAAGTCAGGATTAGATCATCTGTCTGAAGAGTGAGGAAAATAACGATGAAATCCCTAAAAATTCGAATTTTCTATAAAGGAATGGAAAGAAGAAGATAACTAAATATAATACCGATGAAGAAATAACAAAAAAAAAATAGAAGAAAAAACTAAAACACCAACCATTCCTTACAAACTCAGATCTTCTTCATCCCCTGTACCTACACTTTTCATATCTCTTTCGCACGTTATTTTCTCACTCAGTTCATCTTGTGGCATCTCCTCGGTCATCTCTCTGTAAACTTTTATTTTTCTTTGTCGCAACTCTCCTCTATTTCTTGGCCTGAGTTTCTCACTCTGTATAGACAGATGATCTAATCCTGACTACCATATCATGTCTTGTCTTGAAAAATTCACTTATCCAAGAATTGTAACGTTGATAATAAACACCCCTTATGAGATATAGTTCTGAAAATTGATATGGAAGTATTTGTGGCTATTTCGAATCGATTGCCATTATTAAATTTTTTGTAAAAAAATGCCTGGTCCGTTTTCTTCAATTAGCTGGAGTTCTTGTGATCGCAGTAGGCTAAGAAATTGTGATTGATAAGTTTTTTTGCTTCACAAAGTAGAAAATTGGGAGTACTATATTGTGAGCAAAAGAAATCTTGATTCGTCCTAGGAATACGGGAATACAGGTGTAGGGCTGAGCAAATTGTAACAGACTGTAGAATTAGATTTGAATAAATGAAAGAATCAAGAATGAATGTCATAGATTTCGAAGTGAAAAATGTTGTGACAAAATGTGCTGAAACAATAACAGAATGCGAGCATTTTTGGTTGTATGATGAATTGATATTCATCATACAGGGCGTGGAAAGAAATTCTGAATTGAGACCCTATCACGAATCTGCGATTAGAGGTCTATAAAAATGACAAGTTTCCATCGTTCAAGTTCGAACCCCTTGATTGGGTATGAAAGTGTTGGAAAAGAATATTTTCAGATGAATTATGAACATACAAAAATGGATATATATGTATATATAGAAGGGTAGTCGTTGCTGACTAGTTGTCTTCACACACACTGTCATATGTCAGTCATATTAATTTTTCAAAAAAACTCATTTCCCGGCACCATTTGCAATAACCTTATCTTCGAACAATTCCAACCATGTGGTGGGAGATGTGACTTTTAACTTAGTTTTATAATGTTTTAACTTGTGTTATTCAATGTAATGTATTTTTATCGATGACTTTTGGGCTAATTCATGTTATGTTACCAAGACACATAAAGAAATTATACATGAACATCATGTCAGCCATCCTCAACAAAGTTGTAAGTACACACAGATTTCATCACTTGAACTACATGATACTCATGAATAATCACTTTACAGACTCCCTGATGATGAAAATAAAGATCCTCCTCATCATTATTTACCCGAAATTCCAAAAAACATTTTTTTCCATTTGACCCCGTAGAAAATTATTCAACGCCGTTCGATCGGCAAAACAATTTCATTCGACATGTGTCCTCCCTTTTTTCATTTTTTTTTTTTGTAAAAATTATTTTAATACATTCGCTCTGAGCACCCGGTATTTCCATATTTACCTTTTCGTACGTGAAAAGTTACGCCCTCTTCCAATTTCTACGAAATAAATATAGGAGTATGTGAACATTATGAGATTAACGTAAGTCGCATATAGGCATCAAACAATAACCAGTACTTTTCGAATTATCTTTAAAAAATAATTTTATCGAAATTTTACAAGAAACAGAAAATACTCAAAAATTATTGAACGCTTGTAGAAAAATAGATAGGAAGTCATTAGCGCACGTACAAAAAAAATATGGGGGTAAGTGTGTACCTAGTTGACCCCAGTATTTTGGATAATTGACAGTTATTTTCTGTTTTGTTTTCCTCACACGATGTAACTCTTCGTGCTAAAGTAATGTACCAATTTTGTGATTGATATCTTATTGGATACGCGAGTTATTAGAAAAAAAAAACAGTTCTTAATTTTGTTCATGGAATATGTGGTTAATAGATTGTAGATAGATTTTAGCGGACATCCTGTATATAAAGCAATACATTGAGAATTCGCATTCTCTATTTTCTTCTCTACTTTCCTGGCTGTATGCCGCGACGAACATCGAATTACCTATACGATAAGAGTTTAAAAATAAAATATAGAATGTTCTGAAATTGAGAATTTGCATTCTCCTTTAGACAAAAAATATGTATATGCACACATCATTCTGAATATTCATTAGAAAACAACTACTTTCCTGGCTATTTGCCACGTCGAACATTGAATTATATCTGATGAACATCTAAAAGGAGAACATGAAAAATAATAAAATCCTCCGAAATTGAGAATTGACATTCTTTCTCAAACCGGATGAATAATATGATGTATAATGATATAAATATATAACTTACCAAAATATTCAGCATTGAAATGAAAATTGGAATGTATAGGAGAAGTATACTGGCATAAACTCTGATCTTGATGAGCTTGAAAATGGAAAGAGATTTTTTATTTTCCACAATAATATCAGGAGTCTATCAAAAAATGCCATCGGACTTGGAGTCCTTACTGAAATGATTCGGATCACATACTCATTTGATTGCATAATTCTCACGGAAACATGAAAATTATAT